CAGTGCTGGGGCAGCTGGGGTGGGGGGCAGTCACCAAAAAGGGCGTGCAGGCAGGGGTGGAGCTATGCCCCACAGGCGGTGCGTCCCAGCTCCAGGCAGCAAGAAACCAGGGACAGCTCTGCTGTCGGTCCCCTCACCCTCATCCCAGTTCCCTGGGATGCCCCAGGGAGAGAGGAACACACCAGCTCTAGCATAAGCCTCCTGCAGCCTCAGCTGGCAGGACACGGTGAAGGCAGGGAGCCGCTCACGAGCGTGGCTAAGCAGGGAGGATTCACAGGAAGCTCCAGAGCTGCCAGGGTGGTTGCAAACCTGCTGAGTCTACCCCATTTCTGAGAGCCTATGGCACCCTGGGGACACACCATGAGCACCCCAGGACTGTAGAAAATCCAGTGGCATCTCTGCCCACAGCACAGGGGCTCCCACTTCTTAGCCAGAGCACGTCCAGTGCCACTCCCTGCCACCAAACCCTTGCCCTGGTGGACGTCATGGCCAGGGACTCACGCCATCCCACACCTCTACCTTCCTCCTCATCAGGCAGGCAGAGGCAGCCACTCTTTTCCAAGCCTGACAGTACTTCAAGCTTAACATGAAGCTGTCAGACTCTGAGCATGGCCCTATGCCACGTGTCCAGCTCTCGCTCTGATGAGGAGGTCGTGTCCCATCTAAGCAAGTCCTTCCAAGCTAAAGAGCTGGTTCCAAGCAGAGGATCCAAGGTGTCAGGGGCTGAGTACAACCTACAGACGTGTTCCAGGGCTGGCAGTCAGCTGCTGCCCTGCTCACACCAATGCTGCAGCACTGGGACAGTACGGGGTGCGGTACCTCAAAGGACCACGTTGCCCATGAGAACAGCTCTGCGTGTCTCCAGGCCATTCCCTGCCCCTCCCTGCGAGATGCTCACCTTGACTGCAGGAAGCAGGTGATTCCAGAAAGGGGCCCCCTTGGCATCAGTGCTGCGGCAGGCTGTGGGCACCTCGTGGCATGTCAGGATCCGCTTCTTCCTTGCCTGTGACACGTGCAGGCTCTCATCCTGAGAGCAAGAGGCGGCCACAGTCTCGCCAGCAGGCAGCAGCTTCCTTTTGGTTGTGCAGCCACTGCTGCTGAGCCGGCTGCTCCCATAGCACGTCTTCTCCAGGGAGCTCAGGTTGCTGGGCCCAGGGCTGAGTGCTGTCTGCGGAGCCGGGGGCTCCTTGAACTCATTGGCCACCGCTGGCCATTCCTCTTCTCCGCTATCCCTGCTGCTGTGAGCTGGGCTGCTCCCTGGCTTCTCTCTCTTCCCACCAGAGTCCAACCGGCCTGTTTGTGCAATACTGTGCAAACCAAGGTGAAGTAAGTTGTGGCCAATTGCCTGTTCCCCATTCTCTCCATAGTCTCTGGGTTGATCCCCTGATGAGACAGGACAACCGTCTCTCATGTGCAAAGTACTGCAAGCAATGTTCTGGGGGCAGGAGGAGACATCTTGCAGCTTGTCCTCTCTGCTGGCACTGGAGCTGTGGCTAGGGCTGCCTTCACACTGGTGCTCCACCACCCGCAGCCCGCTGTGGGAGAAGTGCTGGGCGGAGCCAGACAGGGATAACTCCTCCACCAGCAGACCATCCTTGAAGGTATCGTCATCATCCAGGGGAGCCTGCCCAGGGCTCCCGTCATGCTTGCTGTCCATCCCCCCAGCACCCCAGTGAGTTCGTTTGGCATCTCGCCCACCTTCTGAAGTTCGCTGCTCGGGGTAGCCCCTCTTGACAGCTGGCCGGCTGCCCGCCCGCTGCTCCATGCTCTCAGAGGAGCTGGAGAGATGGGAGAAGATGGAGACCTGGTAAACCTTCTGGCGCTCCATCTCCGTCTCGTTGTAGCCCATGAGGATGCTGCGGTGGGCGCAGTGCTGTGGAGGAGGCTCCAAGGACGCCTCTCCACTGGGCTGGGGTAGGCTGGGGCCTGTGTTGTGCTCGGGGGGCAGGGATGTCTCCGTGTGGATGTGTCGCATGGAGCCTTACTTGCCTGGACTTGGAGCACAGCTGGAGTCAGAACAGCCCATGCAGCAGCAGCAGGAGAAGGAGGAGGGCCGTAAAGTGCCACTGTTCAGGGTGCGAGGACAGGGAGTGGTAGCTGGGCCCCTCCCTCACTCACTGTGTCCAGGTGAACCCCTCGCTATGGTGTGCAATGCAGCACACCACCTGGAAAGAGAGAGCAGGAGGATGGAAATTAAGCCAGGATCCCTGTCCTCATCGGAGATTTTGGCCACAAGGGACCTGCTGGGACGCAGGCAGCTCCTTGTGCCTCGTACAGCCCCAGTCAGACCTCCCTCTCTGGGGGTGGGAAGAGGAATTGAGCTGGTGTGGCTCACCAGGGAACCCTGTGACAACACCCACCTGTAAGGCCAGGACTTCCTTCATGGCCTGGGTAGAGAGAAGAGCTTCCAGCTGGGCTGGAGACTACTGGGGACAAGTCTGGACAAGGTGGTGAGAAGGGGGCCTGCCCTATGCAAGGGACTTGATGTGCTTGTGCTGTTCTGGAGCACAGGAGTTGGGGAAGCCAGACTAGTCCTAGGGGCTCAGGCCTGTAATCGCCCCTTTGGGGAACAGCAGCGAGACCTCCCAGCATTCGCCAGTAAGACCTGTCTGGCCACACATGCTAAGTGAGGCAGGGCTGGTGTCCTAAGCAGCCAGCCCCACAATGGGGAAAGGAACCTGACTTGACATCACAGTTTCTCTCTCCCTCCTTGGACCAGGGACCTCCACCACCTCCATCAGCATCTGGGTGGTACTAGGGGCTGCCAAGACCACCATGGGCTCCTGCACGATCCACCTGCTCTTGCTCGCCCTGAGGGCCTCAGCAATTCCATGCTGCATGGCGCCTCACTTTTGATTTTCAGCCTCGTTTGAGAGCTGTAAGAATCCTGGCCATGAGTTCTTCTGGCATGATAAATACTGAAGTGGCTGCAAGAGCTGAGGACATGCAGGAAAAAATCACTGGCACACTGTGGAGCTCCATAGCCTGAGAAACTGCCTGTGCCTGGCAGCTCTGCCCTTTGCCTGTCCCCTGTGGAGCAAAGGCTTAGTGGCAGATGAGTCATGGGGGAACTGGCTCTCCAAGTGGGTCAACGGTATCTGGAGAGCAAGGCTGTGTGTCATATTTTGACCCCACCATGATGTGGATGGGAAAGTGGCAGGCAAGGTTGGCTGAGCCCAGGGATTTTGTTGAAATGGAATGCAACCATGCACCAGGACATGCTGGTGGCCAACCAGCTGTAAAGCAGCTTTCCAGAAAAGGCCCTGAGGTTCCTGGTGGACACCAAATTGACCCTGAGACAGCAATGTACACTTGCCACAAAGAAGGGCAACAGTGTCCTGGCCTGCCTTAGGACCAGCGTTGCCAACAGGTCAGGGCATGTCATCCTTCCTCACCACTCAGCACCAGTGAGGCCACAGCTGAGAGAGTGCAGCAAAACACCACTAAGATAATTAAGGGACTGCAGCAGCTCTCCTGTGAGGAAAGGGAGGGAGAGCTGAGACTGTTCAGCCTGGAGAAGATAAGGCTGAGGATGTATATAAATATTTGAAGGGAGGATGCAAAGAAGATGGAGCCAGGCTCTTTCCAGTGGCATCAGGTGACAGCACAAGAGATAACGTGTGCAAACCAAAACACAAGAGGTTCTGTCCAAAAATTAGGAAACACTTTTTTTACTGCAAGGGTGGCTGACTACTGGAATGGGTTACCCAGAGAGGTTGTGGACTCTCCACCTTTGGAGATACGCAAAATCTGTCTGGACACAGTCCTAGGCAACAGTTCTAGGTGGCCCTGCTTGAGCAGAGGGGTTGGACAAAATGACCTTTAGAGGTCCCTGCCGACCTCAACCCCTTGGTGTAACCTGCCATGCTCCAGCCTGTCCCGGCTGCCCCCAACACTCACCTGTCCACGGCGTATCCCCAGTTTGCTCCGAATTAACTCCCCTGTCCCGCAGCAAGTGATCGTTGGCACAGCTAGCTGAAGACACCTGCCAGTCAGGCACCCCCCAGAAGCGGCGTGGCTGCCGTGGAATGGCTCCTACCATCACTGTGAGCCTCCAACCCTCTGCACCGTCGTCTCCAGCTCTTCAGTTTCCTCTGTGGCTCTGAGGGGGAAAAGTGGGAGATGGGGTGATTCAAAAGCTTTCCAGGAGAAGGGCAGGAGAGTACTGCCTGCCTGTAGGTCACACAGGCTGAGAGGGCAGCAATGAGGCCTCTCCCAGACTCCCAGATTTGAAGGCCACAATATTTCTGGCATCACCTTGATTTCCATTTAAACCACAAATACTTTAAGCTGAGCTGTGAACCTGGCTCATACTTTACATCACTTTTGCATGCCTTCCTCTATGAAACCATCTGCTCATACAAACAGATCCACATTTCCTTCTGGCAACCATTTCATGCCTTTCTCTCCAAGACACTGCAGATCACCAACAACCTCTAGGCCTCCAGGTAGATGCTGGTCTCATGTCCACCTGCCCCCTCACCCACAGCACAGCACACTTTCTGACCCTACAGACAAGGAGAAGAGCTCGCAATTGTTTTCCTCCAACAAGCGATCCCTGGGAAGGAAGGCAGAAACCAGGAGCCTGACAGCCCTGAGCCATGGTGACCCCCCACCAGCTCCCCTCAGTGCAAAGACAACAGTCCTTTCATGTGCACAGCACTCACCTGATCAGATATGCCCTTGATGCACAGCAGAGTTTGCAGATACACAGAGCTTCCTTGCGGTCATAATCCAGCAGCACTGCAGCTTTGATGCCTGGAAGAGAGCAAAAGGAGGAGAGGCAGCTCAGGCAGCAGCTCGTGGTGGAACACCTTCAGAGTGGGCAGGAGCCTTTGGACACCTTCACCCTCAGCCCCTCAGTGGCAGGGGCAGTCCATCCCCAGGGAAAATGCCCTTCTCACCTCCCTCCCCATAACACCTTCAACCAGGGGCTCGCTGCAGTGGCTGTCTGGGGGGAAGCCACTGTCTGTCCCACTGGGCGTTCCAACCCAGCAGCAAGCACTGCTCTGAAGGCTGGAAAGAGCAAGGCCAGGCAGATGAATAAAATCCCTAAAGGGATGCCCATGGCACTGAACACTTGTGTGCACCTCCTTTCTGGCACCCTGGTCCAGCAAGATCTGCATCACACCACCTTGCAGGTGGGAATCCAGCTTCAGCAGGTCACTTGCTGTGCTCACTGCATGACATCACCTGCCCCAGGAAACAGGCTGTTCTTTGATTACATTTCCAACACGATTTGTAATTAACAGGCGGTCAGTGCCAGTTCCCAGCTTTGCCAGCCCAAAAGCCACCGGCAGCCGCGCTGTGGAAGTGCACCACCAGTGACCAACCAGAACAGAGATACAATACACCACCTCCCAAGGAGCACTTGCAGCAGGGAAAATTAACACTGTAGCATAACAAACCTCTGGTCCAAAACCTCGAGAAAAGCTCTTTGTAAAGATCAGCTCCTCCTGGCACCCCACATGGAGCCTGCACCAAGGCAGAAAAGCAGGTGAATGCCCGCAGCTGTGGGTGGATGTCAGCATGGTAACATGCTGTGCTCTGCCTACCTGAAAGGTTGCTGCTTCCCTCCTCCAGCCCTGGGACAGATTTGTACTGCCATTTGTGTGGCACAGTCAGCCACTGGGAAGCTAAATCAGCAGCCAGCAGCTAAAGTCAGCATGGTGTGGCATGAGAAAGCCACATCCTTCCTGCATGCATCCATGCTGGGATAAATGTACAGTTTCACCTGCATCCTTTTCTTCTCCTTCCCACATCCCTCAGCAGCCTCAGCCCTTTGCTCCTCAGCAGCAGCTGCCTGCCAGGAGAACAGGTCCATCAGGAGAAGCTGACGTGATGACACCACAAACCCATCCCAGCCAAGACCTCAACACCAGTCACCAGGTGATGCCAGTGCTAACCAGCGGTGCACACACCTAACAAGGGGCTGTACCATGTTTTGCCAGCCCAGATACCCTATCCTGAAGCATTATGCTGGGAAATGCCAGGATTCCCCAACCCACCCCAAAAGCATCTCCAAGTACACCCTTGAGCCTCCTCCTATGCTCTTCAGAGGGTTGCCCATCAGCCTGGGATGGGAGAAGCCAGAGTACAGCAACAGCCCTCACCCTCCTGGAAATGTCCAGGGGAGGTTTCCATCCCTGTTCACCCAGCCTTGGGGTTTCTCTTGGCTGTGCCCCTCCCAGGGCAGTTCCTCCCTGCTGCACACCCAGCCTGCTTGCAGCAGGGCTCAGCCCCTCACAGTATACAGAGAGGAACTCCTCCCTCCATAGAGCAACAGAGCAACACAAGGACTCCTCACATGCCAAGTGGGGATGGAGAGATAGCACCTGGTCTCCTCTCCCTTCTGTTCCCCTTGAGCCAGGCAGAGCCTCTCCAGAGCCCTACTTATTGCCACCTGGGAAGGACAGAGCCAGAGCCAGAGCCAAGTCCTCACCAGCTCAGCTGAGCAGCACAGGTGACATTCCCCCAGATGCAGCAGGTGGGGCTCCATGTGCCCAAGCCAAGGGTTTGGCCCCTCCTAAGCCCAAGCAATGGTCATTTTGCCAGTGTTTCAGCCTGTGCAGGTGCTCTAAGATGGGGCTTGAAGGGCTTTGCTTGTTGGAAGAAGCCCAGACAGAGCTCCTCCTGCTCCCTGCCCTGCTCCTGCCAAGCTCTCAGGACCCCTCAATGCTCAGAGGACATGAGGGGCCCTGTACTTTTGTCCCCCAGCACCTGGGTCTGGAGCTATGCCAGGCACAGCTTTCCTCTTTTTCTCCAGCGAGGTGAGGCCTGGGGAAGGACGCTGCACTTCAGCCGCCACGTGTGGGATGATGCAGATGGGGCTGGGGGGGGTCAGGGACCTGGCTTACCTGCTGGTTTTGTTCCCATTAGCACATCCAGGGGCAACCCAGGGTTAACAGACCGTGGTCTCAGTCGAGTGGCCATGGAGCAGGATGGCAGGTGAGGAAGGGTGCCTGGCTGGGCGAT